AAACATTATTCCGGATCAACTTTAAGTAATAGCATATTCAGGTGATTTAGTCATCATAGCAAAGACAAAGATGGCACTTATAAGAGCAATTAAAAAATAAGATCAGGAAGCAAAGAAAATAGGGTCAGAGATAAACCAGCAAGAAACAAAATACATAACTATTATAGGGAAAGACGATACAACAATTCAGAAATATCTAATAGTACAGAACCACAAATTTGAAACTGTACCCTTAAGCTACTTGGAAATAACAATAGGAACAAGAGAGAATACAGAAAAAAAATTCTGAAAGGCAAAAAACACATGGAATCAATAGAAACCTATTAAGAAGCAAGACTCTGAGTAAGATAACAAAGATGAACCTATAAGACCTTAATAAGACCTGTTGGGATGGAAATAACGACGATTAACAAGAAAAAGGAAGATAGCCTACTGAAATTTGAAAGAAAAATAGTGAGAACAATATTGGGCTCCAATTTAACCAGAGAGGGCGAAAGAAGAATGAAAACAAATGCTAATATCGAAGAAGAATTAAAGCGGGAAAATATAGTCGACAATATAATCTCTTCGCTTGGAATGGATAGGACATGCCATACAGAAATGCCTACACTCAGATAGGCTGAGAATGATAACTAAATGGACACCACTATGGCCCAGGTTGAAGAAGGCCTAGAAGAAGATGGCTGGATGATCTAGAAGATATAAGAACAATGAATGTTAAAGACTAAAAAGTTCAGTGCAAGGACAGGAAGAAATGGAAAAGAGTCACAACAGCAGCAAAGACATACAGCAAATTATAAATGGGATAGAGGATATAGTCTGTTGCGAGTAGCATTCTCCTACAGGACTGTGTCTGCGGCAGTCTTGTGGACCATCACTGGATGTGTTCCGTTGCATGTTTTGACGGTGGAAAGAAAAGAGCTTTATGAGAGAAGAGGGCCAAACCTTATTGTGGCTGAGAGAAGACAGGTAAGGGAAAGGTCAGTTGAAAGATGGCAAGAAGAATGGAACAACACGGAGGATGTGGCACGGTGGACGAAAATGCTGATACCGAACATAAGAGCTTGGATGTACTGTGGCCACAGGCGACTGGATTATTTTCTGACGCAGGTGCTCACAGGACACGGGTGTTTTAGGGCCTACCTCTATAGGATCGGAAAGGCTGATACAGATGAATGCCTATACTGTGGATACTCGGACACTGTGACACATACGATGTTAGATTGCAGCAGATGGATAGTGGAAAGGAGCAGAATGGAGAGAGAGAGACAGGTGTGAATTTTGTTACAGTGAGAGAAATGATTGAGAGAATGATTGAAAATAAATTAGGTTGGATTAACACATACACAGCTATATTCGTGCAGTGATCAAGAAAAAGGAAGAAGAAGAAAGACAATTGGACCAACGGCAAAGGTAAGAGTGAATGTTGCTGAAAGGTGAAGCTAGAAGAGTGGGTCACACTGGTTGAGTTAGAATGCGTGAGTCTGACTGTAGGGAAGGAGGAAATGTCCGTCTGGGAATGATGCCGAACTAGGAGCGATAAGGGTCTTACAGCGGTTATTCCACTTCCGGATCGCTGGATGACAGAGGAGGGTTGGTTTAGCAGGTAGACGTTCGGCGTAGACTCGGCGACGAGAGGGCATTTTAAAGCGACGAGAGTACGAAGAATGAATCCTGCACTAAGGTTAGTCAGGCGGCGCCCTGGACTGAGATGTCTTTTGAAGATTCCAGACCCCCCCTCTATAAAGACGAAAAAAAATGGGATAGAGGAATAACCCACCTCACCCAAGAATAGGATTTTGAACTCCATGGCGTTAGCTATAATTGCTAGAGATTGCCTATTATAATATTGTCTCCTATGTTTGATGTACATGAATGTCAAAAAATTACGTAATTGCATTTTCAAAGCAAATATCCTCTACATATATTACATATTATTTTCCTATATTACTTTCGTGGACTTCATCAATAAAATTTTTATTACAGTTATTAAATCGAGTACCATATTAGCTGGATACGTCTATGAAATGATAATGTGGAATCATGAAGTAAAAAAGAAATTGTTCGTTTTTTAAAGAGGGTATGCAGTTGCGAGTGTTTAATTTTTCTATCACGTTCGAATTTTTACGACTGATGTTTATGTTGGTGTATTTTTAACTGGAAAATTCCAAACACGTGAATAATATTTGTTGCAAGTGAAGTCACCTATACGGGGTTATAAAGTAAAAGCCATGAACATGCTTAGAAAAAATCCCTAGTAATAATGAAGTAAATACAAACATCTATCAAAGAAATGATGATTCTTTGTTGCGGAGGAATGATTCTGTTACTTTTCCTGATGAATGATTTTATTATACAGTGTGGAAACCACTTATGGAATAAAATTGTTTGTGTCCTTATTTTAGAAAATAATAAAAAACGTTGAGATACCTTAACTTTTAAATTTAAATGTACGCTTTTTAGACATAAATTTAAATGTACAGGGTGATCAATGCAAGTCTGTCATAGTGCATAATCTGTATTTTAAATGAAACACCTTGTATATTTTCATGTTTTTAAAAGCTCCTTAACAACCTGATTTCAACGAACTATATCATGTAGGGTCTATTATGAATAATACAAGGTGAAATTTTCAAATTAGGTATTTTTTTCAAGACAATGAATTCATAGAATACCCGAGGTAATTGATTGGATTACATTAAAATAAATGCTCAACATGTTCTCCACCTTGTTGTTGGCAATAACACAGTCTCCTATAAAACTCGTCCCGAACTTTGTTTAATGTTTGAGGTGAAATATTCCGTATTTATGTAGTTATTCTTTCTTTTTGAGGTCTTCAATGATAGTTGATTGTGTTGCATATACTTTATTCTTGAGATAACCCCACCAAAAATCTGGCCACTCAATAGTTCCCTTTATCAAATCCACTTATTGAAGATTTCATTCAAGTAATTTCTCACCATTAAAGCATAATGGTGTGTTGCACCGTCCTGCTGGAACCAGACAGTTTCAAGTGGTAGGGTCGGATCTATTGGATTGGAATATAAGTTAGCCAACTAAGGAAGAACATCGTCTCTTAGCGTGCTTAAATATTTTTCCGCTGTCAAATTATCATCTATAAATATACGACCAATAATATGATCTCCTATAATACCTGCCCAAACACTCAACTTTTGAGGATACTGAGTGTGTGTCTCACGCATCCAATGAGGATTCTCCGCTGACCAATATCTACAGTTTTGTCAGTTTACCTCTCCGTTCAATATAAATGTTGATTCATCAGAAAAAATAATTGTGCCAAGAGCTATTTCATTTGTTTATTTTATCCATCATTCTTTTGCAGAAATCCATTCTACGATCCGGATCGTCTTGTGTTAGCTCCTGCACAAATGCCAATTTGTATGGATGAAGTTTTCTTCATGGAGACACCTTAGGACAGTTGTGTGACTTACATTATTTTGACGTGCAATTTGACGTGAATTTGACGTTGGATTCTCTGCGACACTTAACAAAATATCCACTTTCACTTCATCTTCAATAAAGTTCGATTTTCTTTTTAATGGTTTGATATGTCCAAGTTCTCTGAATTGTGCGTAAATTTTAGACACAGTACCTTGTGAAATATTAGGTAACTGAGGATACCTCTGATTAAATAAGTTTGCTACTTAAACTTGACTTCTACAATTCTCCCCGTAACCGATCATCATTAAAATCTCAATTCGGTGGGCCTTAGTTAAATATTTCATTTTTATTTCTGCAAGAAATTAGTTTTTAATTAAGAATTTATTATTTTAAAGTAAAATGTCAACAACATGTCAACTGATTGATAACAATCCGCATTATTTACCGATTTAGTTTAATTGGCAGACTATCTCTACAGTTTTTACCTATTCACGACAAAAAATGTTAACACGGTAACTAAACAGAATCTTTCCCCAATATACAGTGTACTGACACTTACGAGTAGAAGTCTATTGTCTGTATTTAGCTAATTTAAAATAATACCACAACACGTGATAAATTATTAATTTCAAAATTTCACCTTGTATTATTCATTATAGACGCTACATGATATAGTTCATTGAAATTAGGTTGTTAAATGTATTTTAAAAACATAAAAATATACAGGGTGTTTCATTAAAAATAAGGATTATGGACTATGCCAGACTTGCGTGGATCACCCTCTACATTTAAACTGTATGATCTTTTTATTTGTACGCTACTTTATTTCTTCTATTTTGGATCTGGTTACCTCTTCCCCACGAGTTACTTTGTATCAATTTTGAAGTTATTTTGTTGTAGTTCGTACATGTGCAGGAAATCCTTGACTGGTGCAGTCCAGCGGGAAAGTTCCTTATGATTCCTGTTATGAGCTGATTTTCCTCAGTAATTCAGTAGTATTATCACATGCGCATATCCAATATCAACATTTTGTCATTTGCTTGACCAATGTTAGGGGAGCGCCCACCAAAGTGGCGTGGCAAGTGGCAAGTAGCACGCGTCTAGCATGTTACTTAAAATGTAACCAATGAAAACGAATGATTCAGTTCACACCAAGATGATAGTGACGTCATTCATTCTAATCATTCGTTTGGATTGGTTACATTTTAAATAACATGCTAGACGCGTGCTACTTGCCACTTGCCACGCCACTTTGGTGGGCGCTCTCACTTAGTTACGTTGTGTTCAGACGCAGGGTTTGATGCAGTCGTGGATACTTTAAGAAAGTGCTTTTTGATACTTTTAAAGCCAAGTTCATTAACATCACCGCCATCACTGACTTCATCAATCTCTTATCATTCTCACATGAGCCTGCAGACTACCTTGCGGCTCTTAAGTGCCCCCATAGCCGATTGACTATCTATGCATATGCAAAGATCAAGAGGGTAATTTTGATAATAAAGATCATAGTGATTATTATAATAATGACAACAGCATGATAATAATCAGATTTATAATAAAATTTTAAATTGTAATTAATCCATTTTTGTTTATTTCAGCTTAGAAATTCATCATCCATGTGACGATACGAAATGTCTGTTATCAATAAACATCCAGTACCGTCTAAATTAAACACAAATGGCACCTCGAATATACCTTTAAGAAGAACTATGCAGAGACAACCATCATCCCCTATATCTTCAAAAATTCCCGTCACAGAGGGACAAGCGGTACGATGGAAACAGAAATTCGAAGAAGCCGAAGAAAGAAGAAAGTCCTTGCTCACCGAGAAGGAGAAAGCTCTTCGGAATTTGACGGACATTGAGAAAAAGTATTTAAATTTGCAGATAAAACATGAGCAACTGGAAACTGAGTTGTTCGAGAAGAACGAAGAATTCACCAAATTGTCAACGGCTTCCAAAAATCTTTACAAGGAGTATGAAACGTTGAAGAACCAGTACGAAACCGAGACGAGGGCTATGACCGGGTGAGTAAATTTTTTAAAATTGTTAATATTACGAAGACAAAAATAATGTTGTATATATCTGCAATATAGAGATTTCAAATTTGATGCTTGCAATGTTGCCAGAATTACCATTTTTCTGATATAATTATTCAGTTTGGTTTTTTAAATACAACATACTGTATATAATTATTATCCCTCCAGATACTGACAGAGAATGTAGCGTAGAATCTTTAAGTAATTTTAAACTGTTTGTCCTCGTTTTAGTGTAGTGTTTTGTACAATTTTATGTTATTTTTAATGTTTCCACATTCTACGCTTGCCGGATAGTGTACATTTTGACGATATGCCCCTGAAGATGCTATTTTAAGCGAAAGTACTTGGGCTAGATTTAATTAACTTGTACTCGATAATAGCCTTATTTTCAAAGTTCATTTATTCGAGCATTCAACCTCATTTCATTTATTAATTAATAAAACTAACAATAACTTTGGAGATATACACAATAACCTGTGTTCCCTTGGAACACAGAGAAGAAAAAAATAAAAAGAATACACATATGAAAAACGAGGTTATGAGCGGTAAAAAACTCATCAAAATTAATAAAAATCTTGATAATCAACTATGTAAAGGAGTTAACAATCTAAAAGAATATTAAAAAGGACAAACGTGTTCTTATAAAAGAACCATTACAACCACATCCAAAAAAACACCGAAATATTGTCATGTTTAATCAATTGTCATGTTGACAAGAATATAAAATAAACAGTCAAACGTTTTACGAATGGAATTTTATGTTGGTTCGAATAATCATCGAAAATATGGTCTACTTTTATACGTGATGACATTGTTTACCTTTTTGACCACTTTTTCCCCTGATGCACTCCTCTGGAGGTATGAAACAAATATATTTTTATCCTTTTATTCAAAATTTGAAATTAAAATGGCATATTGGCAGCAAATATCTTCGCAAAGCAAAATAAAGGAGGAAAATGTGTGTTAAAAGATAGAGAAGAGTGATTAAAGAAGAAATCTTACATTGAAGAAATATATAAGAAATATGTAGGTCTGCAGTGTACCTTCCTTCCAAAAACAAATCACTTAAAATAAAGTTTCCTCCATATTGCTCTATTTACACCGCAGAAGCGGTAGCTATTAGGAAAGTTCCGGATTGGCTAGAGCACGCAAATTTGCAAGATGCTATGATCATCTTAGACTCTAAGTCAGATATTAGTGAACTTAATAATACTGAGTTAAACCATAAGACATGTGACCTGGTGGTATTAAACAAAAAATGAGAAACAAAGAAGTATCATTTATTTGGGCAAAAAGTCACTCCGGGATAAAAGGTAATGAAACAGTAGACGAGCTCGCTAAGGATTCTACTCATTCAGGTATACAAGAACATATTTAAACAGTATCAGATCTAATCAATTTTTATAATAAAAAAATAAATTTTAACTGGCAAAAGAGATGGAAAATATTGGCGAATACATCAAATAATCATTATTACAAGATTCATCCTACTTTACCATCCCTAACAGAATTACCACACATAATCCATTGTAATATATCTAAACGATCAGCAACAACTATCACAAGATTAAAAGCTGATCACAGTGCTGTTCCTCCTCACCTGACTAGATTACACGTTATAGAATCAGAAAAGTGTTTATGCGATAATATTTTCCAGTGTGATGTTAATCACATCCTGTTTGGATGTATTAAAAATAAAGCACTCTTATCTACATTTTATGAAAACCTGGTTAAAAGTAATATGCGTCTTCCAGTTAACATAACCCACCTACTGTCACTGAATCAGAAATCAATATACGAACTCATATGTAACCACTTATGTATATGCATCCGGATATATAATATAAATTTGGTACAATCAAATTTTAATTTATAAACATAACATAAATCATTTAAAAATATGTGGCAAAAGGACTAGTTTCCGTGCCAAACACACTATCATCATCATCACATTGAAGAAACATTAAAAAAGCATGCAAAAATACTGCACCTACATAAGAATGTTACTGATTGTTAATTTTGTTGAAAAAATAGCTTATAGTATATTTCAAGAATTTGTGACTGTTTTGAATTATTGCTAGATACTTGAGAGCCAATAGTACAGTCTACAGTACAGCATAAGAAGTATAAAAGTAAATTGCTGTAGTAATAAAAATACAAAACAAGTAATTTCTTAATTAAATTTAAAAAATCCTTTAATATTAAAAAAAGGTTTATTAGGAAATATGACATTATGTCTTCTGCATGAATATTTGTTCTGATTTCTTTTGATCAGCATCATCGTTTCCTTCTTTTTAGCAGAATGAAATTCTCAAGTTTCTATTTTGGAAAATATATTAAAAAAATACAAAATTGGCCTTTCTTCAATATACCACTTTGATTAATTGATATATAATCAAGTCTATAGTGTATCTTTGTCAAAAATGTCAAATGAAAATTAAAAATCAAAAATGATGATTTTCGAACAAAACATTGTTTTTTACAGAGCCTTGAAAGACGCTTCGCAATGGTACCGGGAAAACAAGGAACTGAAACGAAAAACCCTTCTTCTAATGGACAAAGACACTGTCGACGAAGGCGTGGACGCAGGAGAAGGAGAATCCAACTCTGAAACCGATATTGAAAATCTAAACAAGACTATCAAGCAATTAAGTACGGAAATAGCGGAGTTGCAGACCGAGGTGGATAGTTTAAAGCAGACGGAATTCCAGACATCAGAGGATAACATTAGGTTGACCGAGGTAAGTAAAGTATCGGATACTTTTATACAGCGATCACTCAAAGGTAACATAATCAATATTACATTTTAAAAACATTATATTACCACCGTTTTATAAAAAAATATGAAAATTAATAATAGAAGAGCGACAAATGGCCTCAATATTTGTAGCATTTATGTTTCACCCGACGAAACTTGAATTACTTAATCTTCTCCAACAAATTTCCTCACCTCGAATAGTTACGGGAGATTTTAATGGTTATAATACTACATGGAGATCAAATAAAACAACACAGAGGGGAACTATGTTAGAAAACATTTTTAACACTATGAACCTATGCCTACTCAACGACGGATCTCCAACAAGATTTAATATTGCTACGACAATATCTTCTGCCATTGATCTCTTCATACGCGAACCCCCATTGCTCAGCCAACTCGATTGGGCAGCAATAAAAGATTTATATATTAGTGACCACTTCCCAATAAAATAACAGTTAATTTAAATTCAAATACAATACCAAGTCAAAATTGGAAACTAAAAAAGGCAAATTGGATTGAATTTGAAACAATTATATCAGAGAGAATGAAACAGATTAAAATTTCACAGGCGACTGACGACATACTCACGATCTTTAATCAGCTTATACTGGAACTGGATCTAGAAAACGCTATTCACGAAGCTTTTAAAAATAATCAAAAATGTATGGCAATTAACTTTGACATTACTAAAGCATTTGATAGAATATGGAAACACCGTATATTGAATATTCTAAAAAAAATGGAATATTAAGGAAATATTTTGACCTACATAAACAATTTTTTAATTCAAAGAACATTTCAAATCCGAGCGAATGATGCTACATATATCCTATCTTAGAGAACAACAAAACGGAATCCCACAAGGATCAATTATCAGTCTTGCTCTATTTTTATTAGCAATAAACGATATAATAAAAATCATTGCGAAACATATTCAGGCAAGCATATGCATCTGCCAGCACAACAAGTTTGGAAACCTTTGGATACGTTACATAACACCTCCCTAAGGATTATACTCTACGGAGCGTACAAAAAAACTCCATTAATGCAGCTATTAACCCTAAATTACAAAACTCTAAATAAAAGAATTCCACTAAATAATAAGACATATCCATAGCTAACGACTTTTTAAAGTTCAATCTCCTTTCCACTCGCGATTAGAAGACAATATCTAAGTCTTTCTTATGCCGCAGCAGTATCGTCTAATCAAGATCATCCAGTTATACACAACGTATTCGCTGACCGCTTCAAAAGTTGTTTCCAAACTTTAAATCGAACTGATCACCCCTTCTATTACCTCCTACATACTAACTTGTGACCAATAGGTATCCAATTTCCAGAAACCTACAATATCTCCTCAATTCAAACCCCTCCTCCTTGAATAATTCGACTTCCCTCTACTGACACCAGTTTATTGTGCCTAAACAAATCAGAAACACCAGCCAGTCAAGTTAATCAAGAATTTCTTAACATATTAAACAAATATGGAAGCTATTTCAAAGTTTACACCGATGTCACCAAAAACGAAGACAACTGGGGCAGCAATCTACTTATCAGATTATACAGAAGCTTACAAATTACCTTCATATACAACAACGTTCTCTGCTGAACTGTATGCGATACTAAAAGCACTAGTTCTGATAGTTAACAAAAATAAAAAGAGAAATATAATTATTACAGATTCTCTCAGCTCAATAATGCCATTAAACCAACTCTACTGTAATCATCAACTACTCCTTCTCCTGAACATCTTCATGTTCACCTTGGATTATAAAAATTCTGTCAATTGCAATCTATTACAATTCCAAAAAAAATAACACCAACCCTAAGCTTATCATATAACGCTTCAGAGATCTAATTAACTCCCATTCTATATTGCAACTCCTGCAACTATATTAAACAGGAGAACTCTATGCAATTTACCAAGTAATACTACACGCGAATGCAAATAAGATTTAGAGAAGAACAAAATATTAATTGTGGCAGATTCTATGTCATCACTACAAATAATGAGGAAAATATACAAGCAGCATCCATTAGCTTTATTAATAAAGGAAGAACTAAATAAATTGCATACTGAAGATACAAGCATCAAGTTTCTCTAGGTCCCATCACATATTGGAATAGCAGGTAACTAAGCAGCAGACAAAAATGCAAAAGAAGCTATAAACGACAACAGTATTCCAATATCACTCTAATCTGTAAGTATGGATCTAAAAAGCCATTTCATAAAGTATCTGTTCGAAAATTGGAACAACAAATGGAAATCCACACCATAAAAGCTTCAGGAGATAAAAAATAAGATTAGACCATGACAGCCATTCGAAGTATCCAGACGAAAGCAAATAATTATTTCCCGTTTACGACTTGGACATACCCAGTTTTCTAATAAACATATGTTTAAGAAAGAAGAACGCCCAATTTGCGATGAGTGCGGTTCACCCCTTACGTAAAACATGTGCTAGTGGAAAAGTGCAAAAAGTTCAATCGTCACAGAATTAAATATTATGTACCAAACAATCTTTAAAGACATTTTAAATTCAAAAAACACTAACGATAACCTACTTTTGTTTTTAAAAGGCTTTAATTTACTAACCAAAGTGTAATTAACTGTTACCGTTCCGCTAATAACCTTATTAGGTTGAAGCGGGTTTTTTGTAAATAAAAAAAAGAGCGAGAGAAAAGAAAGATGTAAAGTAAGCAAAAAGATTAAAAATTTACATCACTGTGCTTTTTGAAATGCTAAAAAATACTGAGCTTGATGCAAAGCAAACAACCAGAAAAATAAGTAAACAAATACATTTCTAGCATATTATTAATGTCTTTTAATGACGCGGTAAATTCCAACTGACTTTCTTCTTTACTCTGTAATCTATAACCCTTTATTTCAATTTTTAATATTTTCAATTCGAAACCTATTTGACATTTTACGGAAATATTTTACACCATTGTCCCACTCAAAGCGTATCCAACGACTAACTATCTCTACCTGCAAATTCTTTAATAATGATAGGGATCAGGCACGTACACTTAATTATCAAATCAAAAAGTCTTTAGTGCTTCGAAAAGTCCTCGTGAGTCATTCAGTGTGAAAGAATTTAGAAAGTGGTGAAGTGTCTTCGCGTCGCAGTATTTTGCGTATCAGTGACTATTATTCGGGAATCAAAATGTTTTTGGACGGTTTGGATTTTGGCGAAAGTGATAAAAAGTTCAGGAGCAGTTTTCGCATTCAGATCACCAATGAGGAAAAGATCGATCAAGGGCGAGAGGTGACTAATTCGTTTTTATGTCTAATAAAAAAAACCGTAAACATGCAAATAGCGTTATTGATTAAGATTTGTTTTCCGTAGGAGGCGAATGGCGTGGGAAATATTTTGGTTATAGTAAATATATATGCAAAACAGATCGTCAATGAAACATTTCCTTTGTTAAATCTGATTTAAACTGTTTTAAAAATAGTATAATTTTGATCGGAACGAATTTTTTTTAATAATTATTTTCTTTTCGGTAAAAAAACGGGTTTTTGTCTTATTTCTTGATTTCGATTCATCAGACTGTATTTATTTTAGCTTTACTCACAGCTCCTAAAATTCTGAAAATTGCATATACGGGGTGTTTCAAAAAGGTATGCCATCAATTAAATCACGCGTCCCGGGGACAAAAAAAATTGATTGAATCCAACTTACCTTAGTACGAAAGTGTACAAAAAAAAGTTACAGCCATTTGAAGTTACAAAATAAAAATTGTTTTTTTGCATTATTTCCTAAACTACGTGACATTTTGTAATAAAAATGGACACGTTACTTTCTTGTTCTTAAAGCATTTTTCATAAAAAAAGAAACAACAAAATCTAAGCGCACAAAAACATTTAAGCGTTGTGTATAGCCCTAAATTCTCCCAAACTTTTGAGTACATTCAAATCAAATGAATTTTGTGGCATCATTAGTTTAACACATTATTTTTAAAATTGTTTGTCTTTTTTTCAAAAAATAGCTTTTATTGAGTTACGGTCTTAAGGTTTTAAGGAGTATTTTCCAGTTGCCCCAGATCCAGGATCATTTCCTTTACGCTCTATTTTGGTATTGATGTTGCTGCTCAGAGTAGGATATGGGAAGGAAAACTTTGGTGGTTAGGTGGGAGAATGGGTCTAGCACGTAATGTTTTCCATGTACCAGGAAATTGGGAGATATGGCTCACGTTAGCATCGTTGCATCCCTGAAGTAGACCTAATTTCCACCGGGAACGTAAAGAGTATCTACCCGCTACTGATTGTAGCGGGAAGTATGTTTTTGTTTATTTAGTTCTAATTTTTTTATATTCTTCATATTTTATTTCTTTACTGTTTTAAACTTCTAATCTGTGAAAGTTTACATATCTTGGCTCCCTTCACAACCCTTAGAATGCTATGAACCATTGGGATTCTTTGTTAAAATAAACGCCATGAGCTTTTCATCTTATAATCCTTATGTGTTTAAAACCGTTAAAAATATACTCTAAATTCTTCTTGTCAACAAATATAATTTGATTGTATTGAGTACAACATAACGACATCTTTATTTTTAGTCTCGAGGAGTTAAATTAACATAATTGACTTATTTATCGATATCAAAGACGCCTGGGGTGATTACTCATCGTAATAATTACTAACAATTTATTTAATTAAGTTTTTTGCAATATCTCTATGAATATTACATTACCAATATAAAATACATTCGCAATATGTGCTATATTAAATACTTACCAACAATATGAATAATTTTGTTATATGTATTATTTGGTAGTTTTATTCTATTATGCAATTTATTTTCTTTTTTTTTTCCTTCAGGACTTGGAAACCGAACGACAGAAAAACATAAAATTGGAACTAGAACTGTTTGAGCTAAAAAAGGAGCACGAACAAACCTTAAGGGTTATGGAGATGATGAAAAAGGAAATGAAGGAATTGCAAATGCTAGAAGAAGAACATAGGACAAATCTCACAAATTTAAAGTAAGTGAGATTTGAAAATTATCATTTATTTTCGTTTGTATCGGCGTTCTAACAAAAAAAAAAGAAAAGTTTAGTGCCAAAATGGCACTATATCGTTTCTCTGTTGTTATTCGTAATATTACTACGTTTAACATGTTAACGTTTGTGTTAACGTATTCAATATTCCCTCCTCTTTCATTTAACGTGTTACGCGTAGTAATTTAACGAATAACGATGTAGATACGATATAGTACCGTTTTGGCAAAGTCTTTACGTTTAATTTTTGTTTTAACATATTTGCTACCACCTCCCCTTTCTATTTATACCTTGCACGTTGGTGTACGTTGAGCTGTTTAGACGTTACAACCTTAGTGTCCTTTTGGCGATACGCCGCCATCTTTGTTTTTTGTGTTAACGTATTTGCTACCCCCTCCCCTTTCCGATGATACCTCTTATGTCACGGTCCGACGAGCCGTTTTACACCCACCACAAAAAGCGCCAAAAATGACCAGAATGGACCTTCGATTTTCTTATGGAAATTTTCATGGGAAAATGACTGATTTACACAATGCTTACAAAATGGTTGTATCCTAAAATAGGAAGTTTATTATTTAGCTTTGCAATTGTATAGTCCATATAAAGAGTTAATAGAATAAGTTGTACACTTATAAATATGTAAGCATAAGAAATTTCCATTTGTTAGTGACTTTTTCCTCTTTATATTAATACCAAATCAAGTTTAATCTATTTACATTATTTAATAATTTTTTTTACCCCATTATTGTCTTAATAAAACCATATATACTATTTTAGAAAAGAATCTGATGCCCATAAGAGAGAGAAGAACGTGCTAAAACATCAAAGTACGTTGATTTTACAAGGACTGAATGAATCCGAAGGTTCGGATAATTGTTTAATGTTGCTACAAGAGATCGAAGACTTAAAAAGGACTTTAGAAGACGAGAGAAACAAACACGACGAAGAAATTATCACTCTACAGGTAAAATTTATTTAATAATTTAATATGTGTTCAGTTTTCTCGAGATACTAGGTGATATGTGTCTGATATAGATCTAAGAGACAGGGCTTAATTCTTAGTTCTTCTATCCGATTAAAATTTTAATTAAAATTAAAATTAACAAAACATGGATACCGATATTAAAATCCACCATCTCCCCGCAAAACACGAAAAAAGAAAAACTATAAATGACGACACGCCCCCTCACGTCAAAACCAGTGGAGGGGAGGTGAGTAGAAAATATAAATATGACCTCCGTAGTACAAACTACAACGCGGCTAGCTTGTAACAAGCCTAGGAGCAGAGTGGGTCTACTCAATGCTCTCTGTCATAAGTTTGGGAGAACACACCCACGCATACTCATACATATTTACAAAACATTCACCTCGAATATAATCTTTGATATATAATATATATAATATATAATATAGATCTAACCTCTATATTACGATCCACCAATACCTTACACAAAGACTGCTGAGATTGGAACGGGGAATCCTGCGTAGAGTAAACAACAAACGACGCGACTACCCCTCCGCCCTTATTCATCAAGTTACACAACTCCTGCTATACTTGTTAATTTGTAACATGAATTGATTATCTCAGAAACTGTTGAGTTTTGATCTTTGAAGGGAATCTAAGATTGCATTCCAAATGCCGTTCATCATGGCCAAAATTCGTAGTGAATTCAATTTCTGGTACTCCAAACGAAGTAAAGAAATAAAAATCTAATACCGTCCATTATGTTTTAAATGTTCACTTTAACACCCTGTATCTTTCTTAATATCAACATTTTATTAAAGCAATTTGGCTTAAAATCGTATATTTTAAAGTGTAGAATCTGCGGTTTCTTTTTGTACATTACTTAAGGACCACCCTATTTACAACGCTGCGTCAGTTTCGGCTTACGAAAGTTAAAAAAAGAAGAGGATATAGAATGGGAGAAAAGGAAATAATCCCATAAGACAATGGTCTAATGTCCCGAACAAACTGTTTATGCATTACTTCTTTATATACATGGTGTTGATTTCATAGGGATTTCGAAATAAAAATGGTCATAACTTGCTTAATACTGTGTGTAGTAATGCAAAATCCAATACTATAAGAACAAGAATTATGAGCGGAATATAAATATGAAAAAATATGTAGGGTGTCCCGTTTAAAAATTGTATGTTTGCTATACCACGTAGTTATAATCACCCTGTAGAATTTTACATATTTTCCAAGTATGTAGAATGTCATTGACTACATTTTTTCTAAATAAGTTTGTTGGATATCTTGTACCCTGTATAATATACAAGTTTTGGTTGATGCTACATTCTTCTCTAAATAACAATAAATGAATGTTCATACTTTTTAACTTCTACAACTTGCAGGAACGTCTAGAAGACCAGGACAATAACGCTCAGATAGAAGTCTTAGAAGAACGATTGAAACTCGTGGAATCCGAACTTCAAACTGCAACAGAACGTGCTGAAAGAGCTGAAGAAAAACTAAAAGCTCCTCCTGCTCCTCCACCGCCTCCACCACCACCACTACCACCGATGTTACCGCCCCTTTCGCTTCCTTCTTCAGATCCACCAGCGGTACCTTTGAGAAGAAGAAGAAGTAAGGTGGCGCTTTCGGATCTTGCGGAAAGCATAGGTGTACAGGTATGCCTTTTCATGGCTTTTAAAATATTGTGTTAAGAAATTCAAATATTTAAGAATTTGTTGAAAACAAAACAAAATACCCACATACAAGTAATAGGCAACATCCAATACAATTCTTAATATTCTTGTTGAACTCATGGTGAAAATTATTTGAAGCTTTTTTAAATTAAAACCTTACTCCTTTTATCTATACAGGTTTTTCTACTTTCTTCCAAGAATTTGTTGAAAACAAAACAAAATAACCACATACAAGTAATAGGCAACCACCAATACAATTCCTAATACTATTGGTGAACTTATGGTGAAAATTATTTTAATAAGCTTTTTCAATTAAAACCTTACTCCTTTTATCTATACAGGTTTTTCTACTTCCTTTATTATTTTATTTATAAGAGTTTCTTGCAACAATTCCTCCAAATAACATCCAAAAGTTGCTTTCGTTAGCATTTAAACTGTAATATTGATGCAACTTATTGATTATTCTTTCTTACGTGATACGATGTTGTTTCAGGAAAATACCCAATCAGATAAGAAGCAAGCTGCAGCTCCTGGTGTAAACGAGGACATTATTAATGCCATAAAAGCGGGCCAGTTCACGTTGAGGAAAGCCAAAAAGGAGAAGGAGAAGCAAGAACAGAAGGAGCAGCCAAAGGCAGTTTCTGAACTACTTAATATTTTAGGTAGCTTAAGGAGAGCCCCCAAAAAGAGACAGAGTCAATTCTATGGGGATTTAACTGTGAACGCATGAGATATTAGATACCGTTAATTTGTTTTATGTTAACCATTAGAATATTTTGTAATTTAGTAACATATTGTATATGCATTACTATATTGTATTATTTTTGTTACAGTAAAGATACTTTTATATATTAAGAATGTGTTTTATTTTGAATTACACAAAAACGAACAAAATTACACGGCTTTTACTTTAGTGGCATTAGTAAATAGGTATGATCCGTAGATCATATGGCCGTTTACCTACTTTATAAATCTATAGATCCTTCGAGAAATATTAAAACATAAGAAACTCGGGAACATTTGGCATGTTGGCATCACAATTGTTTTGAGGTTTACTACTACCACTTCTTCAGTCAGAGATATTAAACTAAATTAATTTAATTACTTTGACGTCAGTACACACAGAGAAAACATTGCCCAAAGAAACTACTACATAAAGAAAAATGCCATTAACTACATTGCATATATTTTTGAAATTACCAGTTACCAAGAACTATGTTTCAATTAATAAGCTTTTATACTCATCGAAATACATGATCTTTCTTAAAATTCTTGTAGTTTTTTGTAGTTCAACCAAATACACTTCAAGAACCAACCATTTTTATACAATTATTTTAAACCACAAACCCATAGATTCACCAATTTATATTGCAAACACTACGTATTTCTAATTACGATTTAAAAATACACTCGTATTGGTAAAAATGATTATTTTCAGCCATTAGATTATCTTACTTTAAACATTCCATGTAAATATCATGGAAAACAAGTGGAATTTCAAACATTGTTTTTGCCCCCTTATTTCTTTCCCTAGCGGCCATCTCAGGCACTATATTTAAAATATTGGGCTTCAAATATATTTCTCCCCACTTCTAAATATGTATGAAAAATAGGTTATTACTATAAAGTAGTAATAAATAAAATTATAGTGGAAAATATTTAATATTCATTACATACATTTATTATAAAATAAATATTAATTTTGACATAAATATAAGTTTATATGGAAAGTGGATTTATTTTGTTGTAAAATGAAAGCGATAATTTGATTAGATCGCCAGTTAAAACAATAAGCTTATAGTACTTAAATTAGTGAAACAATTGATAAAATATACTTATTTAAAAAAGTTTAGTGTGATGGAAGATATTGGAAGATTTTATTGTAAACAGAATACACTAAACATTTCAAGATCTAGACAACCACCAATACTATTACTAGTAATAATGTTTGCTTGATCTGGTAATAAAATAAGGACATTTGATAGATCATCTTAATCGTTAGAATATTAAGTTCATTCAATACGATGATTGATCAATTTTATTCAACATTATGTATTTGTTATAAAATATTTTTGATAATAAAAAAAATTTCCTGATGAAAATAAAACTGGTTCACTAATTTATTCACAGAGGGCTCTTTAAATTTGATGATTGTTTTGACGTTATATTTTATTAGACATTGACATTTAATCTTGTAGAACTACCGAGAAAAATTAAAATCAACTAGTAATTTAAAACAATGGCAGACTTATTAAATGATACAGTTTTACCGGAGGATTTAAAGGTATGAATTTGAATATTTTCTAGTGTTTAAAATATATGACAGTTTATAAATTCATAGCATTACTCCTTAGATTGGCTTTCACAGTATTTACATGAGTCATGCAATCATTCATTTATCTATAAAATGCGTTCTAGAAGTCGAATTCGTGAATATGTTACATTTTTAGCTTATGCATAAATACCACTATGACACGAGAGCATAAATTTACAATTTTAACAAATTACTGCTGATAAGATCTACCTTATTTATTTCTTTGACTGATTGTCACAATGGACCTTTCAGGCTAAATTCACATGTGGGTTTCCCATTATGTAGTATGCTTATAAGAACCTATATATGTTACATGTATTGTCGTTTATCCAGAACTAATGTATATTGTTTTGTTCCAGAAATTCGAAAAAATTTATCACCAGCATTTATATAAAAATGAAGTGACACCAAAAGTTCAGTTTGAGTATGCTTGGTGTTTAGTTAGAAGTAAATATTCCGCTGATATTCAAAAAGGTATCATGCTACTAGAAGAACTATATAAAAATAACAGTGATGGAAAGAGGGACTATCTTTATTTCTTATGTGTGGGCTATGCTAGGATGAAGGAATACTCTAAAGCCTTAAAGTATATTAGATCATTTTTGGCAGTTGAGCCAGGTAAAAATATAGTTTATTTGACTGTTTGATCACTTCATATAGCCTATTAGATTTGGAATTTAGAGTTTTCTTGCTTATTTTATCTATTTACTTATACACATCTTTTGTCTATTCTTCTATCTTTTACATATGATGAAATCAGTGTTAAAATGATGTATTTTTTAGGTAATACACAAGTAGCAGGTTTAGAACAACTAATAAAAAAGAAAATGGAAAAAGAAGGTCTAGTGGGTATGGCAGTGGCAGGAGGAGTGGTAGTAGCTGTAGGAGCCATCGTCAGTGTAGGCATGGCTATAGCCAGCAAAGGGAAATCATAGTTCTTCCAGAACTTTTCTAATTTTTCGTTTTTTAGTGAGTGATCAGTACCAAATATCAACTTGTAATAAAATTTTGTATATTCTAAAAAGGAAATATTTATATTTTTTGTATCTATAAAAACAAGCAAACTAGTGTATGTTAAAATATAAAAATACTTCCACAAACACATTTCATCACAAGGAAACTTCAGTGGTTGTATAGGACCACAAAATTTTCAACATTTACTAGTTTGCACATATGTTATGGATATTAAAAAAAGCATTTAATGCGTTTATCTGTACTGAATTTATTTTGTGATTTAGAAATACATGTGTTTTTTTATATTAATAATTGATATAAATTTCGATCACTTTATTATGACATTGTTTTGTTGCTATCATTGTATATATGTGTTAAGTTTTACTTAGGTTAGGTATTTATAAATGAAATGAATGTCTGAATAATAAATGAAGCTATTTTAGAAAATTGCTTCTATTGTTTAATATTGATTCAACTGTACTTGTACTAGTGTGAAAGTTCCCAATAAAAGAGATCACAAGCTAAGAAATACTGACCATTTTCCAAGAAAATTAATAAAATATACAAATATGACCACAGGTGAGATAAAAGAAACAGTTAATCACTTATAGATGATTGGGAAGACAAAAAAAGAATGTAAAGAACTTTTTTACATCCTTTCTCTTAAAAAGAGGCCTCAGGTAAGAGAAACAGTTCCCTTCACATGAAAATGAAATTAAATCTACAAATACCATCACAGATGATTTAGAAGAAACTGCTATTTATCTATATTTCTATTTTATAAAGCAATACCTTGGGTTTGACCTGAAATTTGTCCTCACATTTCTGGGGACCTTAACTGGTCCCTTAGACCTTGTGGAAGTCATGAAACAGTGGAACATAATGGATAAACATCCTTGGTGAGGGATAGGAGCCTCAGCAATCCTGGAGTATAGTAGAAGCTGTTCACCTAAAAAAATTTTCTGTCTACTCTATCCTCCTACTGAAAATGTAGTTAAAGCTGATAAAATTATTTCTACGAGCAACCATAAAAAGTGTGAATGCTTTTTAGCTAAAAATTAGCTGTGGTGAATAATCGTAAGACATATAAGAAAAATAAGTGAAATATAGAGAAGGTAAATGACTGCGAGACACAAAAAAGAGATTGCTGAAAGTTTGGAGGGGACTTAGTCGTGAACTAAGTTCTTTTTTGGTAAAAATTGAAATAGAATTCAAAGAAAATGAAAACAGAAAATGTTTTGTGATAAGCAAAAGCAATAGAGTATACTAAAGATAAATTGCTGATTTTAAAACTAAAGAAAGTATTCAAGTATGAAGTCAGATGCCAGTCAGTCCAGGCGTAGAGGGCTGGACACTCAAAACGAGGGATATAAACAGATTGGAAGCTTTCGAAATGTGGCTTTATCGCCGTATCCTAAAAATACCATGGACAGCGAAAATCACAAATATAGATGTCCTTAAAAGAATAAACCAAGAACGCCAACTTTTCGAAACCATCAAGAAAAGGAAAACGGCGTATCTAGGTCACATCATGCGAAATGAAAAATACCAGTTCCTTCAACTTATAATCGAGGGTAAAATTGAAGGCAAGAGAGGAATGGGACGCAAGAAAATGTCCTGGCTCCGAAACATAAGGCAATGGACAGGGATTAACGACATACAATCTCTGATACATATTGCAAGAAATAGAGAGTTAATGGAAAATGTGATCGCTAACATCCATTAGTGGATTTGCATCTGAAGAAGAAGAATGAAGTCAGATAAACAAATAATATAAGATCTAATATATGAAATCTAAAAAGTGTAAAGTATTGTTCTCGAATATGAAGAAGAAGACTTGTTGAGATCAACTTCAATGAGATTTTGCTTACAAAAAGAGAATCTTAATTACCAAATTCTATATTCAATAAAGTTATGTATGTCCTGAATCATTTATTTACCAAATTTCAATTATCAAAATAAACAATGAAGTTAGAATTCCAAATGTGTCTCTAGTCAATTAGGTTCTCTAGTCTGCTGGGGCTGGCTAGTAATTATGGTTATAAAATATAATTTGTTGCAAAACTTTAAAATTGGGAAAAGGGTTTATAAACACACCATTATATAAGATACTTATACTTCTGTCACGTTGCTACAAACTGATACAAATATCAATACACAAACTACATCAGTTATATCATAGGCCCAAAAAATTAGTAAACTCAAACTTTGTTGGTCATTTTCTGAAGACCCACCCAACTCGCAGTTAAGAAGATGGGGGCTGTGGTTCTGGAGTTTTCAAAATCAATATTGTGACCTGTATGAAGATGGTGTGACCTAGAGCTGAAATTGAGTCGAAATTGCAAACAGAAATGGAATGTTTATAAATCCTTCTTTTGGATTCTAAGATTTGTTTGTCTTATATAAGATCAGGGGCAGTCTGCACAAGGAATTTCATAAACTCCTTGTTGTTCATTTGGAATGTTGTCTTTGATTGATCATACAAGAGATGAAAGGTTTTGTTACGGAGTGCCTAGTATTATTTATTTCTCTTGATCTAAGAATTTTGTCAGTGAATCTTTAATGTAACGAAACAACTTTCGTATGATGAGGGTATGAGTCTTTGGATTGATGAGTCTAAGGAGTTTTAAAGTAGAGAGCTCAGCGGGTCTATTATCTGGAGATAAGGATATTAATGACTGAATTAATTTGTGAAGGTAAATGATGAGAGTTGGCAGCAAGTAACGATTGGTGAAAGTGGGTTTTCGGTAAACTAGAGTGATGAAAACCTTGGGATTGGTTTTTCTTTATAATATCGTTAAGGATATATACTTTCTTCTATATAATTTAACCTATATTCAGAGAAAATATTTAGTGAATCCTTGGAAAATTGCGAACATGGAATCCTTTTAAATGGAGAACGCCTAAACAAAATCCGCTAGGCAGATGACATCGTTATTTTTGCAGACAGTTTAAACAGTTTACAGCAACTAATAAACAAAGTAAATGAAGTAAGGTGAAAAAAGACAGCAAATATTTGATTTCACGCAAACAGCGCCTTTGTATCTGTTGATACGTATTTCGACCTAATAGGTCTCATCAGAACAGTTATTCAAAGGTGTTCTCAACGTGAAAGATCAATATTTTCTGTCTTTTAAGAAGCAACACTAAAATAGCTTCAATACGGACGCAATAGCGACATCTGACAATAAAACCGTAAAATAGTTTCGAAACACAATTCAGATTTCCGCTTTTATCTGTGCTTTCTAAAAATTGCAAAGCAAAACAGACGTTGATAAAGGTGTTAAAAGAGACGTGGGGAATCTAAAATTTGCATTCCACGATACATCTTTTCAACTAAGCAGAAATCCTTAGCGAATTGGTTTCTAGTACTCGTACAGAGTAAATCCGAAAAAAGTGAAAAAGACAGCAAATATTTTATTTCACGCAAACAGCGCCTTTGTATCTGTTGATACGTATTTCGACCTAATAGGTCTCATCAGAACAGTTATTCAAAGGTGTTCTCAACGTGAAAGATCTATATTTTCTGTCTTTTAAGAAGCAACACCAAAATGGCTTCAATACGGACGCAATAGCGACATCTGACAATAAAACCGTAAAATAGTTTCGAAACACAATTCAGATTTCCACTTTTATCTGTGCTTTAGAAGAAGAACGTCAAGAAAGGGGAGGGATGAATCAGTTTCCATTTCTATCGTGAACTGAATACTAGGATGTATACCAATCAGACTAAATCATCCCTGATGTTGGGCCAAATGACAAATTTATCGTCAACATATCGTATTTAACGTCTGGCTTTGAACATTGATGTGTGTAGTGCTCGGGTCTCGAAGTCTTCCATGAAGATATTGGCAATTACTGAACATAGTGGGAAGCCCATTGGGGCAATATTTATTTGTCTGTAGAGTCGATTTTGGAAGATGAAAAAATAAGTGTTGGACATACAATGTTTAATGAAAGATAAAATGGTCTCGCTGGATACTGTATTTTTAGTTTCCAGAATGTTTGAAAAGAGTAAAACAATGTCGAAACTGACAGTGAGATAGGATATTGTTAAAGAAGTTTTATGAAATGAAAAGAATTTTTGACAAAGTATGAAGCTTTTTCGTATTGAAGTTTTTGCAGGGGATCAAATCAATCTCAAACGTGACCGAGACGCTTACAGTAAAGTATACATACATATAACGCTTACTCTTATTAGTCTACTTATCGACGTAGGCATACTATTTTTTAGTCTTCTTCTTCAGCCTTCATTTATCCATTGTTGAAAATAGGCCTCCTCCAATTGCTTCCACGCTTCCCTATCTTTTACAATTCTCATCCACTGTTTTCCAGCTACAGCTGTTATATCGTTTATCCATCTCTTTTTGGGTCTTCCTACGCTTCTTTTTGTTTCTCGATGTCTCCAGAATGTCACTTTATGAGACCATCTGTTGGTGTCTTGTCTTGCTACATGTGCTACCCACTGCCATCTCAATGTCGCTATTTTTCCTTTTTCCCACGATGTCAGTTACTTTAGTTCTTCGACGTATTTCGGTGTTAGGAATTTTGTCTCTGAGGTTTATATTTAACATGGCCCTCTCCATGGCCCGTTGAGTTACTCTTAATTGTTTTGCCATTTTTCTTGTTATTGCCGTAGTTTCCAGCCCATAAGTGGCAACTGGTAGTATACAAGTGTCATAGGTTTTTCGTTTTAAGTGAATTGGGATTTTTTTGTATTTTAAAATGAAGCTCAACTTACCAAAAGCAGCCCTTGACAATTGTGTCCTTCTTTTAATTTCTAGGATTTGGTTTTCCTTTTCGTTTTTAATTGCATGTCCTAGATATATATATATATATATATATATATATATATATATATATATATATAATATATATATAATATATATATATATATATATATATATTGGTCTACCTTTTCTATATTGATGTTATCTATCGTGATGTTTTCTAGGCTGTTGCTTAATATGTTTGTTTTGTCGAGATTCATTTTTAATCCTATTTGATTCGATTTGTAATTTAAATCTTGTAGCATTGATTTCAGTTCATTAATATCTGTGCTTATTAGTACTATGTCGTTTGCGAAACGCAAATGGTTAAGATATACTCCATCTACTTTTAATCCCTTTTCGGCCCAATTTAGTTTTTGAAAACATTTTCTAATGCCAAAGTAAATAACTTGGGTGAGATGGTGTCGCCCTGTCTCACACCTTTACCAAGGTCTATTTTTATAGTTTCCAGATCATCATCTATTTTTTCGTGAAAAGTAGCATAATCATATATATTCTTAAGGAGGGCAGCATATCTTGAATATACTCTGGCGTCGTCTATGCTGTTAAGAAAGCCCATTTCTCGATACTGTCAAATGCTTTGTGATAATCGACAAATGCCAGATGTAGTTGTATGTTGTACTCTATTGTTTTTTCAATAACTGTCCGGATTG